CTTGATTAGCCAGGCCGGGCAAGGGTCCAAAGAGGAGGTGGTGGCACGACAGCGATCAAGCGTCCTGGAGACAGTGTCAGGCGTAACAGGCTGAAAGGTGTCCAAGATCACCGGGCAAGACGGAGCGCTGGACATCTCAGCTCGACTCACTGTACTCAAAAAAGGAGAGAGGTCCCGGCGGATGGCCTCCACTTTTGATTTAAAAAATGCTGCAAATTGGTCCGGCGAGAAACTAGGGGGAGGCCCATCGCCCGGACCAACTCCGGAGAGGTCGCGTACTATACGGAATAACTCCGCCTGCTGGTTGGACGCCTCGCTTATCCGGTTAGCGAGGTATGATCTAGTAGCAGCCTTTACCTTAGCTAGATAAAGGTTAGTAGCGACCCTGACAGCTATCTTATTAAAATCCGTCGGGGCCCTTCTCCATCTGTCTTTCTTATGTGACCTTGCCCACCAAATCATGGCTTCATATTAAAAAAAATAGAAGAAAAGATCTCTTGAACTCTTTGGGAGGAGAGTAAGGTAAAATGCTCCTACTGCAGCTTCTGTAGCTGTGTTCAAAAGGGAGTTTGTAAAGGCACGGACTGTAGGTCCAGGCATGCTGAACTCAGATTAATTACATACTCTGTGTTCAGCAGGACTTATTTCCAAATAAGTGGAAATGGGAATCAGGCTGCATCTCGGCCTGCATGGCAATCTACACTTACTTAAAAAAAAGTCTATGCTCTTCTTGGAATGGATCCAATAGCTCATAATCATATTGTAGGATTTTAGCAATCCAAGGATGAAATGTAGCTTGTTGTCCCCCCTCCCCCAAAATACTTTAGGCAGAAGGTCACAATATTAGGGTCAAAATGTGGCGGCACATATTGTTGAATTGCTCATCCCTTTCAAACATCCACAAAATAAGTACAAAATGAAAAATTCAGTCCCAATCTGCACTGCTAACTCACAGAGGCTATTCAGTCTAGTCATGTGTATCTAGAGGAGAAAGAACTGCAACAGTTGCAATGATTCAATTCCTAAACCAACCAACCAACCAATCAACCAACCTCCAGTTTATGAATGTAGGATACAGTGGTGCCCCACATAGCGACGATAATCCGTGCAGCCAAAATCGTCACTATACGGATTCGTCGCTATGCGAAATAAAAAAGCCCATAGGAATGCATTAAAACCCATTTAATGCGTTCCTATGGGCAAAAAAATTACTTTTATGCAAAAATCCTCCATACGGCAGTGTAATACTTCAAACATCCACAAAATAAGTACAAAATGAAAAATTCAGTCCCAATCTGCACTGCTAACTCACAGAGGCTACTCAGTCTGTTGGGAAAACATTGTTATGCAAAAATCAAACCCATTTAATGCGTTCCTATGGGCAAAAAAATTACTTTTATGCAAAAATCCTCCATACGGCCGCCATTTTTGCTGCCCGGTAAGCGAGGAATGGGCGCAAAAACACAGCGGGCAGCTGTTGGGAAAACATAGTTATGCAAAAATCGGTAAGCGAAACAGCTTACCGATCGTCGCAAAGCGATATTTTCCCATTAGAAACATCGTTATGCGATCGCAAAAACAATCGCAAAAAATCGTTGCTATGCGGATTCGTCATTAAACGAGGCGCCCGTTAAGCAAGGCACCACTGTATTGTGTTTTCTGTTCCACAATTCTATGTTGGGAAAACATAGTTATGCAAAAATCGGTAAGCGAAACAGCTTACCGATCGTCGCAAAGCGATATTTTCCCATTAGAAACATCGTTATGCGATCGCAAAAACAATCGCAAAAAATCGTTGCTATGCGGATTCGTCATTAAACGAGGCGCCCGTTAAGCAAGGCACCACTGTATTGTGTTTTCTGTTCCACAATTCTAAATGCCAAGGAATGGACCAATATAACTACACAACTGCATTGTCAGGAGGAAAAAGGATGCCAAGCTTTATATAGCAAAGGGAAGCCTGAATATTGACAAACCATGTCACCAGTCAAGATGGTCTACAGGATCCCCTCTTCTACTCACTACTATTCGCAAAGTGACACCAAGCAAGGAAAAATTCCAGAATCTGACTCCTTTTTTCATCCTTTTTTCTTCTCACTCAAACACAAAGCAATTGTCAGAGATGTATTTCAACAAATGTAAACGGAATAGAATAAGTCCACACTAGACATGGGGGCTTCATATTTGTATTTGAATACGAAGCCCACCAGCACAGATGGCTGTCCCAATTACCATCCACCCCAGGAACCTGCTGGATCACTTACCGTGCAGCACCCATGGCTGGCATCTCCTGTGCCCCAATTGCAGCAGTAGCCCAG